AAACGTAAATTAATTCATTTACACTGCTCCTAAACTCTGATTTACCAATTCTAAATCTTGCTAAATTCACTTTGCAAACGTATCTTAACTTCCAAGGCACTAAGGCATCATTTAGCTTTTAGAAACTGTACTGCGGTTTACTAAATGATTCATCAGTGGTCTGAGAGTTAACACAAGTTGAAAGGGAGTCTTTTAATACCTATCATAAACCATATTCTTACTAATTGACGAAATTTATTGGATTAAGATAGAATTGATCCCCTCATTCTAGAATGGACTCAAGTCAGGTTAATACTTTATGGTAAATCACATGAATTTTACCAAGTATATGAGCAAAATGAAAAATACTGTAGAAATCTTATGTTCACCTTGATATGTAGAACTTATGTCTCCTCTCCTCCTGAGTGTGAGTGTGCATATATATGTGTTTGTGGAGCAAAGGTCTACAATTTTAAATTTCCCCACCATAAATGCATCTACTAGCACAAATACTAAGAAAGAATCAGCAATGAGACCCTCAACTAATCCAGTACTGAAATAGCCATTTTTATTATTATTCAAACAAGTGCCTCTGTTTTGCTTTCTATGGAGAAAACTTTAAAATATTCTTTCCCAAAGATATTTAGTGATGATGTGCAAATACTTCAACTTAAAATCAAAGGAAACATTTCATCATCAGCGCTATCAAGTTAACATTCCTTTACACAGTTTTTTAAAAAGTGATGATTTTCTTTTGAAATTACCAGTTATGGTGATTATGCCATAATACATACAATAGTTTCTCTTTTTATATGTTTATGTTACACTGCTCTCCAGTTTCAGTTACATACATAAATACATTCTCCAAAAGGGCACAGATGCCTTATCATTGAGGGGAGCTATATAAGGGTATGGGGTATAATTTTTTAAACAAAGTAAGAGGTTCATGCTCTCTTGACTTGCCTAATTTTTTTGTAAGATTATAACTGTTTAACCACAAGGTAGTAAGAATATTCTCTTCTAAACCAGCACTTCTAATTCTATCAACAAGCTGTACATATGTTTAACTAAAACATATGACATCATATGGAAAGAGAAATTTTTAAGAAACTGTTAAATTAATTCTTAAAATCAAGAGAGGGTTGTAAATTCAATGTGTGTGCAATGCATTTAAAGAATGTAAAAATGAGTCCCCTAAACTCAGAGGAGAAGATGATTACAAATCATAGCTCAGCTCACTCAAATTTGGGGAATTTCCACTAATTCAGTGAAGTCTACTGATACATCTCCTTATTTCTTGAAAATTATATAATAAGGATTGCTTCCTCCAAACAAATCCACTGATATATTTTTAGAAAACTCAGCAACCTCCTCAAAAAAACATTGTTCTGCCTACTCTGAACAGAAAACTTAAGTTAGAAGAGCAACTTACCAACACACACACACACACACACACACACAGTAATAAAATTCCTAAATGCTTCGTGTAAGTTGTCTCACTAAATACAGAAACACAGCATTTTATAAACATGCAGCACACATTTTCATACACTGTAGTTTACAGTCCCAACAAAAGGGGGAAATGAAGTTCACAAATGTAATATGCCTTTATTTTGTGTATTACTGCTCCTACATTTCTTCCTGTCTTTAAACTTACCTGCTACAAAATGTTATCACCAGATTGAAATTTGTTATTTTAAATTGAGAATGTCCTATTTATGTTGGAGCATCTCCACCCAAGATGTTACAAAAGGTCTGAAATCACAGGGACCCATCGGACCATTTGATTCATAGTCAAGTTTAACGACTAAAATTCTCACCTGTGACTTATATATTAAAAGAAACAGCAATTTATCAGTTATTCAGAAAATACTATTAAATTTCTCTGTAATTTCGGTCTACTAGAATTTCCTTAGTAATGTTTGACAGTCTTCGCATCTTAAAAACCACCTGGTCCTGTGAAGAGATTCTGATGAAGACGTTCTAAGAGAAAAATGTGCGATGGCACAGGTGAAGTAGTATTTTAAGTGCTATTAGCATCTTGCTAATTCTTGAATGATTAAAGTAGACATATTTATAGTAAGTGTTTCTTTTTAAATCAACAACTACTCTGGCTTACATGTCTCTGGTCCATGTAAGCAAGGATTTAGTAGGTACTGAAGCATGAATCTTTCCTTCTGTAGAATTGACACTATACTACAAAGTCAAACACCCAACCAGGTGGAAAAAGACTGGGGGGTAGAAGAAAGGTGAACAGAGAAGACACTTTTCATACCTAAAACAAGGATAGTAAAAACTCCAGATAGTACAGATTGAATGAATGTTGGCTGAATGAATCCAAGGAAAGTAAAGATAGGTAGGATCAAGGAGGAAATACTCGCTGACACTACATGCTTTCTTTAACTGGTGTAAACACAAGATGTAATTGAATCTCGCTTTCCCTGGCCATTTCCACTGCTACCGAAAGTGCTCTTAGATATATATCTACAAGAGAGCTGGTAAAGGAAGCTAGATCTTAAAAGAATTTTTTAGTTTTCTTCTTAAAATATATGTAGGAAAAGTGTAGACAAGGAAGAAAGGGTACATTTTACAAAACAATGCAAATATTTAATTGGATTTGTAAAATGTAATTTAAAAAATACTAATGATGATTGATTTCTACCAAAATATTTGCTTTGCCATTCTTAAGCAAGAAGTTGAGAAGTTACAAGCCTAGATGCGAATCTGTAATCTGTTTAGATTCTAGCATTTTCTTCACAGTGTCACAGCATTGACATCTCAGTTACTGAAGTTCCATTTGCTGGATAAACTTGGGGAAATTAGAATTTAGGGGAAAAAACCGGGCTTGACTGCACAACTAGAAAGAATCTTGGAGAAAAATGTTGCCCCAACCTTTTTAGAGTTTAAAATTATCTTGCTAGCTCTTGAGGATTCAAGGCAGTCATTCTTTGTAGTAGTGGAGAAGAGATGTATAAATTCCTACACATAACAGATCCAACAAATGTCTACAAAACTGAATTAGTTGGTGTCAGCTTGGGCAGATTAACACAACAGCCTTACTCTCCTCATCATAATTACAGGTTTCCTAAGACCTTTTCTAACATTCCTTCATTTTAAGTTGTCAGTTCCTTATAACACAAATATGTAACATACAGAGAAGCCCATTTCTTTATTTCTCACTTAAAAGTACAACATGCTTACACTTCTAGGGGGTTTTGGAAATGTCTGCTCAAATACTAAGAAAGTACACTGAATAAAAGACGGTAACACTGTTTGGTAAGATTTAAAGTAAGCATAATTAAACTGCAAGTACAGCAGAGAGACACCATTCAGAACCTTCCTCATTCCAGGCAGCCAAGGACTTCTTACATGGGGTAGGTGACCTGCGCTTTGTTCATCTAGAGGTTTTCACTATTATTTGTAGTTGAGACTGAGGCCCTCTGACTGAACTTGGATCTATATATATTTCTAACTGGTATTTAAATAATTCCCTTAAGAAAGGAAATCCTTTCTTTGGGGAACTGATAACAGTATTTTGTTAAACTTTTTTTTAAAAAAGGACATAAACTGCAGTAGATATCACCATTCCTTCTCACATTTACCCCCTCCCCCAAATTAACTGCAGTATAACATATAAGTTTTAAAAGGTATAACCTAAATACAAGGGTTTTTGTCATATCATAAACAAAAGTCTCCAGCAATATTAAACCACGAAAAATTTCCCAAAATTCACAAATTTCAAATACCCTCAAAATTACTTAAAAGATCATTCAACAGAACAAATACATCAAATTCTCCACCAGAACATGAAAATATTCATTGAATAAAAGCTTTCCAATTAGACTGTATCCATACATAGCAGCTTTATATATGTATATAGTGATCTATACACGTGTGTATATCATTAAACATTTCTTTTTGCTATAGGAAAACCACTAACTTTAAAAATCTCAGCATAGAAAGAGCTATTAAGACAATTTTTATCAATTCATACTAGTCCACTGAATTTCAAGGACATCAAAACAGTGATAGTTTCTGAAAACAGAAAAGAAACAAAAGATTCCCCAAATGCTAAGTGTACACATAACATACACACACTCCATAATGTAAAGCAACTTTATACTGAGATAATTGCAGGATACCCTACAAACTAATTATTAACCATCCAATTATACCTCCATTCTAGAATTAAAAACAGGAGTTTAAATCTCTTTGGTCCATGCATTCATATATTTATAATGTGTCCAAGCTATTTTCTGGTTAATTTTAGATTCTGAATTATATGTTTTACATTACCCTACCATGATAACTTTCTCAACTCATTAAATAACCATATGCTAAAATAAAATTATTTTCATAAGTCTGAAACAATTTCAATATGCTAATTCCTTTCAAAACAGGAACATTTCAAATTATTGATAAAGTAGTCAAGGTAAAGGAAGAACACAACTCAAACCTGACAGAAAGGAGAAATCAAACTGACCTGGAAAAGTTATGACTAAATTTAATTTGGAAACACATCAGAAAAAGAAAACACAAAAACAACTACAAACTTGTGCATATTAAAAACAATTATAAGATTTACTTCGAAGATCTCTAAGAATGTATAGTCGCTTAGTGTTTTTTTTTTTAAATAAATTTCCAAATCACAGCATTAGTAAACCCCCCATCAACTCTTCAATGTTAAGTTTCTGATATATTCAACTTTAGAATTTGAATGGAACCTAATAGAAACCTATTTTTTAACCAAATCAAGTTAGAAAATGAGCCTAGAGTGCAGATTATTTTTTGAATTGATCTTAACTTTGTATTATTACCAGTAGCTCTTTTGAATTGCCACATATATCTGTGGTAATTTTAAAAATCTCAGTAGGAGACAAATTCAACCAGGTTCTGTCCTCCTTACTTCTTGTACTCTTAAAAACAGGTACATATTGTCAAATTTCTTAAAATGTTTTATACTAAGAACATTTTTCATTTTTAATAAACATCAACATAGACTCTAGTAACTTACGTAACAGCATAAATCAATAAATGAACAACTCAAGCACGCCAATATATGGTCAGAACTGTACTGATATGCTCAGATTAACTGCCGCATTTTAGAATTTGCTATATTCCCTAATTTTCACCTAGCAATACTGTGATGTTACCACATATCCAAAGTAAGAGAGTTTATTACTCTTCCTAATATAACTTACTTGTTACTTATCTACAAATGAGGCTTCTTGTTTTCACAGCCTAATTTAGGCCACTCTTTAAATATATTTAATACTTCATAATGAAAGATTGCTTACATTTTGTCAAAAATTAAGGTGTACGCAACAAGTAGAATAATCCCACTGAGATAATAGTTATAAAGAGGTTTTCTCCATGAGATACATGGCAAAATCTTTCTGTAGAGGGTCAAAGAATGCAACATGCATTTCAGACTTCTTTCTTTAAAAAATTTATAAGAAATTTTCAAATGATATGTTTATGACACAAAAACTACAACCAATGTGGGAGACCAATAAAATTTTGAGTTCCTATCAATAGGATATTTATGTAGGAGGGAAACTATTCAGAGTATTATTTAAGAGAGTGAAAAGGATGTACCCTATAGGTCTACTTTAAGTCCTTAAAAAGGCTTAGCTAGTTTTCCACTAAGTATACTTTCAACATAAATAACAATAATGCCTTAAACATGTTAAAGCCCTAAATCCCATAAACATTCAACATTAAAAATCAAATAATTTATCTCATATTAAATGATTGGGTTTTCAGCACTCATACGGGATTTAGCATTACAAAACAAAACTCTCACTACATTACCTGAATTCATGTCAAATATATTCACAGCACTCATCTAACATCTACACTTGCAAATTGTCACATGATCAATGTTAAAAAAAAAAAGTTTGGCACATATATCAATTCCTCAGAATGTCCTGTAACTTAACACAACACTGTTAGGAACGATGATTCAACACCAGTGTTAACCTGATTGGCAGCTAAACAAGGTGCTTTTTTCTTGTAGCTTCACATAGTGTATTGCGCCTTGCCTGGGACGGAGGCACGTAAGGTGCAGTGGTGTAGTGCAATCACTTGAACACCAGAGGGCAATCTTCCCACACAGCTCAGGGTCTTTTCTTCGGACCTGCTCCTTCCACGTTCTTGGATAACTTCACTTCCACTTGTGTTATAACATCGCCATTTCCAGAGAATCTGTTTCCTTATGTTAAGAACGACATTCCCACAGAAACCTCAAAGTGTAGCAAGGATCCTTGAAAAAGAGATGATTAATGTCAGTACTGTCTGTCCAACGCCCCACACCAGGGCTTCCAAAGGGGCCATGTTCTTCCCTGCTACTCTGTAGATGCCAGCTACTGCTGCACCTAGATGGGGACAGAGGCAGAGACAGAGGGAACACACCATCACTGTCACACCCAGCATGTTGTCATTTAGGATCTCTCTTCATTTCAGCAAAATAGAATCCCATCAAACATTCTCATTTTGTAATTTTTTTCTATGAAAGAGTTTCTATATTGCTGGTGAAGTTATACTTTATTATACTATATTTACTCACCTAACTTAAAAACAGGCTTTTCTATTCAACTGCAAAATATATTTTTATAGTATATGCTGCTTACCTGACACCACTACTCATATCTAAAAAATGAGTAATTCATTATGCACATCTTACCTGGGCATTGGATTGGCCAATTTGCACTAGCATTTGATAGAAATACAACACAAAATACTGATAATTAAAGAAAATCACACAACTTAATGTAATTTCTACTCTAGAAAATTTTAATATTAAAGAAATTGCTATCAAGAAAATGAATTCTTAAGATGTCATAAAGAGCAGGCTATTTGACTAATTCATTCACAATCTACCATATAAAACATTTTAAGCTTTTTAATGTATCATACAACTATAAAGTTATTTGGACACTAGTATGTTGGCAGGTAATAAAAAATGGAAGATGAATTTGACATCTATTTAGGAAACTGTTTTTAGACAACCCACACTTGTGAGAATAAGACAGTCTCAGAGTTACAAGGCACCTCAGATCCCATGTGATTACCACAGTATGCAGAATACTGTGGTATCTGGCTTTAACAGTACATTGAGAAATCAGAAAGAACAAAATATTTACATTTTGCCATCTCACAGATTGCAATGTCCTTAAACTATTTCCACAGGAAAAAGTATCTATATACCCTGCAATGGTCAAAAGAAACGAGTAAGAACAGAAGCATATCATTCAAAGACACTAACCTGACAGTTACTGGAGACAGAAATCATTTATAAAAATAGCAAAGAAGTAATACTTATTTAAATAGTTCACTTCAAACTGCCCAAATAAAATCCTATTCTTCTGTAAGAGACATACCTGGGGAAAGCAAATTATGAACCTAGTTAGGCCAAGAACTTCCATATGCATATTTTAAAAAGAAATGGAAAGATACATTTACTGAATACTATACATCTTGCTAGGAGATTTACAAATATTACCTCATTTAAATAACATACCACTCCTGAGTATCACAATCTAATTTAAAGATGAAAGAAGCAGAAATTCAGAAGTTCATTTAGAGCCCAAGGAAATACAGTAAGTATAAAAACTGGAATTTTAATCCAGTTATTTGGGCTATAAATCTGAACATCATCTTATCATTTCATATTTATACTAAATGAAAAAGAACAAGGAATTCAGAAGATAATAAAATAACTGATAACCATTTTTTGATATTATATAAATTAGTGGCAACAATTCTTTCTTAATCAAATGATGAACTTCACTAATATAATTGGGTCACATCAATTTTAGGAATGGATGACAATCATAAGTTTAAGATCTCATGCCTTTTTTGTTATTAGAAATGATGTTAAGGTAAACCTATTTACTATTTTATTTTACCTATTTTTTTTTTAACCCTAGATTTCCCATAACCAGTTTCAATTTCATCAAATATGTATGACTTCCACCATTAACTTTTCTGACTCAGCATTAACTTTTCAAAACTCAAGAAGTGGAAAATCAAAAGAGTTAGTTAGTAGCCCAGCTGCCCTGGAAATAATAAATCTGTCAAGCTTATCTGAAGTCAAATGCACTAGCACAGGAGCTAGATTCAGATTCAAATTCAAGCTCCATACTTAACAGCTATGTTACACTCAGCAATTACTTACCTGCTCTGTGTACCATTTGTCCTCAGCTATAAAAGGGGTTAGTGTGGAAATGAAAAGGTAATACTTGGTAAGCACTTAGTATATTGCCTAGTCCTGGTATGTATTCTGAAATTTGGCTAGTTGTTGACATAGAATAATAAATATATTTCTAGTCAGGCACTCACCATTCAATAAATGTTGGTGAAATAACTGGCAGCCATTTGTGGAAAAAAATAAATCTAGGTAGCCCTACTTTCCACCATTCCCCAACTAAACTGCAGCTGTGTCAAATAACTAAATATTAAAAACCAAAATTACAAGGGTGCTTTGGTGGTAGGTGTGGTGTAGTAACAACAATGAAGGGGATGATCCTATACCTCTAAAACAAACAACACTGTAAACTAATGTTACCTCAATAAAAAATTAAATAAAAACAAAACCATAAACCTTAAAAGGACAATATGCCTGTAATCTTAGGAAAAGAGGATTGCCTAATATCACTTGAAAAAGAGCAAAAATCAAAAAGGTTTGACTACAAGGGGAGGCTAGAAATTTTGCCATATGTATAACAACGTTTCATATCTAGGATATACATACACAAACTCACATGCAGTAATCAATGTAACCTATTTTTGTAATAGCAAAATAACAAAAACAAAGTCACACTAAGTTCACCAATCAGTAATAGCTAATCTACACTAAGTCCATTCAATGAAATTTGCATAATTTCAAAAGAAAAAAATATATAGACCTGTGAGAACTAACACAAAAAGAGCTTAAACCATATTAATCATGCAATATCCTTGACACGCAGGGTTAGGGCTTAAAGCCTTCTGGCTCAAGGTGGAGGACTAGGAAATCAGTGTTTGGGACATATCCCATAGCAGGGGTTAGCATTTTAGAGGTGAGCAGTCATGGAAAAGCACCTTAAGACACAAAGCAGAAGAGAATAAGAGAATAGGAATTTTAAGGAATAAAAATGAAAATACCGAAAATGCTTCACAGTCATCTTTTCCAAATAAGCTGACTCTCTTATTTCGTACTTAGCTGTTTTGGTGGGGGGGGGGGGAGGACTTTGTTAAAAATAAATAAATAAAAATAAAAAAATAAACTGCTAAATAATTCATATTTATTTATAATCATTCAAGGAACAAAGTGAAACTGATAGTGAAGAGGAGAGAAAAATGAATAATACCAAGACAAAAAAAGGGGGGGGGGGGACTCTAGTTTCTACAACTGAGGGAAGTGTTCAGTAGTATCACACAGAAAAGAAATCCAATGGCCTTTCTCTGAGAACACGGACACATTGTATATGAAGACATAGATAATCAGTTAGGAATCAACTTGTAAGTTACAACTTTCCACCAAATAAGTATATTTATAAAAGTTCCTATTCCATTGTACCATTTCACAACCTAGAAACACTAATCAGAAAAGTTCTACTGATCAGTAGAACTCAATCTAAAACAATTCTTTGTGTTTACTAAATGGCTTTGGAAACACTACTATTAAATATTGAGCAGATTAGTAAAGAGTGTTCACAAAGGTCTGCAAAGATCACAAAAATACCAAAAATCCCCAAGTACCTATCCTTCAACAGAAAGTCGTTATTTCCCTTGAGGTTCCTGTGGACCTCAATACTAGCCAATTTCCTGTTTGAATTTGGTTTTCATCATCCTTTCTTTTCATTCAACTTTATCATCTTCTTACAGTCCTAAACACAGTAAGAGTTTTTTTAACATCTGAATTTCATAAAAACTGATATACGGAATATTCTAAAATTTGTGGCACATTAGTATATGTGTGAAACTTACCTGTGTGTGTAACTATACTTCATGTATTTTCACTATTGTACAGAATATCCATTCTATTGTTAATGACCCCTGGAGCACATATAATCAAGAGTTTCTCTGTCATACAAAAGTGAAATGAGAATTGCTTAGCTCTATGTTATGGGCATTTTCAAATTTACTATGCCAATGGTACATTGCTTTTGAAAGTATTTGTATCAATTTATCATCATGCTCCGTTACTCCTCATCCTTAGAAGCCATGAATAAAAAAAAAAGTTGTAAATCTGGTGGATGTTCCTGCTGTGATTAATTTGCATTTTCCTGACATTTAATGTGATTGAGCTTTCTTTCACACATAATGGCCACTAGGATGTCTACTTCTATGAAAGGCTTTTCAAATCTTTTATTCATTTTACTATTGGATTATTTGATTCATAGGAACAGTTTATATAGTTTGCATATTAATCTTTTTAGTATATGAACACAAGGGTCTCCCTCCAATTTGCACATGAGTGCTCATTGTCTTTAACAGGTCTTGCTGAACAACAGCCAGTTGTAAGAGTATAAACAATATGGTCTTTATTTTCTTGTCAAAATATGAGGTTAAAATACGGAAAAATAAAGAATATAAAAGTGCAACAGGGTGTTTGCAATAAGTGATACCTCTTTGGAGCTGCCACTATAAACAATGGCAGAATCAATCAAAAATAAGGACACTACGAGGGCTTAGAGAGAACTGGCGTAAATGGGATGCAGTGGAAAAAGCAATACTCTAGCTGGTCTGAAGGAAGATCTAAACCCCTGATGATTAAAAAATAATTTTTTAAGATTATGTTTATTTACTTATGTATACAAGAAAAAAGGTGTAGACTAAAGGTTCAGGGGCAGAAAGGATTCATCAGAGACAGAGTGGGGAGCATAACAGGTGGATCCACCGAAATACAGTGCTGAGGGGAGCAGCGGGGGACAGGAGAGGCCTGCTGCATCATGTGGGTCAGCTCCCTGGTAGTGGACTGAATTCAGATGCAGTGGCTGGAGATAGCTTTACAGTGCTTTTAAACCTTGTGCACCCAGAAAATCCAAAGAAATAAGATTTTGCCAAAGAACACATTCCATTGTTCAACGAGCACATGGGAAGATGCTCAACATCTTTAGCATTAGGAGAAGGTAAATCGAAACCACAATGAAGTACAATTTTACATATAAGAGGATGCCTGAAAATTATATACATAATAACCAGTGCTGGTGAAGATGTGGAGACATGGGAGCCTTCATACATTGCTGAGGAATTACAAAACTGTGCTTCCAGTCTGTGTAAAACAGGTTAGCAGTTCTTAAAATTATTAAACATAGGCCCTCCCTGGTGGCGCAGCGGGTTAAAGCACAGCACTCAGAATCTAAAGCCGCCGCATGAGTTCGATTCTCGC